TATATTAGTAAATAAACAATACAAAAATAACACTGCCAAGAGTACAGTTTTGGAATATTTCACAAGCTTCGTGATGTATTTTTTTCTCAGAAGCACTGGGTGAGTTAGGTTATATCAGTGAATTGTGAGGACTCTCCCACACACTAAAGAAGTGATATAGTACACACTTCTTGCCCCCAGTCATCACACACATACACACACCACTTGGCTCTCACATACTGTGCTGTGCTGAAAAACTTCGCAGGCAGTGAAAGGGCAAGGTCACACACTCCATCATGAGGTCACTAAACAAAAGCAGATTTCTGTGATGCATGTCTGAATCTTCCTACTGACAACAGCTTTACACACTCCCACTTTTTCCCAAGGTTTCACTTGTCTTCTGTTTGAGCCCCACCTCAATTGCTCCGTTCAGTTTCAATTTCAATTTGAAATGGAAAACAAATATATATTGGCATGATTAATATATATGCAAATTATAATAAAAATAACAATAATGTAAAAATACCATTAAAATAAGGCACAATTTATTTATTTTAGTCTTTTCTAAATTTGCCATCTGCCTTTAACTTAGGAGATCTGTAATACTCTGACTTACTGTATTAAATTCAATATTGTGGTTGAAGCTTTCTCAGTGTTAATATTTTAATAGTATTTTAAATATTGGCACATATAAATGTTTCGCATACCAAAAAATTGTTTGTAGATTTGTGGTAATCTGAGAGTCGTGATGAAATTTGTGAAAAATTGAACAATTGCCCCGGGTCTCCTCTCTTTTTAACTAACCATATGCACAATGATTAATGACCACAGGTCCTCAGTTCATAGTTTTCTTCTTTTATTTTTTTATATATTGGGGTGATTTACCAAATGTCAGAAGGGTTTTTTCTTCTCATTTTCCTAACCCATCTTTAATCTATTTCTTCACTCTCCGTACGAGCCGGCCTAGCACGGACCTGACCCAGGCCAGCTGGCCCGGATGTCATTGGATCCTGAGACGGGTCAGGTCCTTAGGGTCCGGGCTTTGTTTCTGTGTGCAATGAAGCAGGACTCACCCTCTTCTAGTCTTTCTCCTCTTTCCTACTTCCTCTCTCTGGAGACAAAGACCCTGACAGAGGCTTGCATCTCTGAGGAAGGAGGAGAGATGGAGATTTGCTATCAAAGCTTGTCATCTTGTCCATCCTCGACCATCCCAAAATGCAGTGGCTGAAGAACATGGCATATTTCTGTGATACCCTGGGAGCTGCCTGCTGAAATACTAATGATCCATCTGACATACTGATGTAAACAGTGACATCACCCAAAAACATGTGGTTGCATCTGATTGAATGTCTTTATGTGACAACATTCAGTCCTATAGAGTGACAACTGATTCTTCAAACACTCTCACACTGTCTCACCAATGTCTGTGGTCTTTAACTCATTCTGGAGGAAACAGCGTTTCATGTTTGAATTTATGATGCAAACATTGGCGTCTATGTGTGTATTCAGTGGTGTGTGTATTTTGACAGCGATTAAGGTTGCAATCTCACTTGACCCCAGTAAGGAAGCTCTTACTGTGCAAGAGTTGTGCTTGTTTGTGAAGTTAGTTTGTTTTTGAATGAGTGGCCTCAGCCAAACCACCTCCTGAATAATCATAAATCTCTCTTTTTCCCCCCTCTCTCTGTTTCCTTAGGTTTTCCATGCAAACGTAGACCCCTCAGAGGTGGTCCTGAACCGGATCCCCCAGCCTGTCTTAGCTCGGTTTGTCCGCATCCGACCTCAGACATGGAAGAATGGAATCGCATTGCGCTTCGAACTTTACGGCTGTCAAATCACGGGTCAGTAAAACTCACACCACACATCTTTCTCCAAGTCTGCACAGCTCTTAAGGGAACTGATTTGTGTTTTTTTTCTTTTAGATATAAAATAATAAAATAGCCAGAAAAAGACAAACTTAGAATGTTGGATTGTCTAAAATTTAGCTAAAAAGTTGGGTGTTTAATTGGTTCGTTGATAGAAAGGTAGATATGTAGATAAAGATTTATCAATATTTACCTATCTATATCTATATGATCTAAACATGTAGATATAGATATAGATCTATAAGGTAAGTTTCCCTGTCTCATGTGAACTTTCGTACTCAGCAGGCCCACAGACACTACACGTGACAAATATTATTCCAGATGCCCACTGTGTCCCTGTCAAGTGAGCTCAGATGTGTATTTATCAGAGCTCTTTAGTGTCCTGATTGAGTTTGACTATTTATGGAAATGGGGAGATAGCAGTCACCTAATTCTGTTAGCATGTCCTGCAGCAGATGAAGGAGGTGAGCTGCTTTTGATGTTATCAGAGACATCACACTCCATCATTACGCTATTAAACAGTGATTCACTCCTATGTTCGTCGACACTGAGCAGGACAAATGCGCTTTTAGAGACGGGGTCTTTTTCAACACTGACACAAACGACGCACGGACATGCCACTGGCCTCCATATTAGACCTGCTGCAGTCTCTGGGGGGCCGTTGTCCCTCAGGCATCCAGCCCAAAACAAGCCGGCAGAGCCAAGCCCATAAAGATGCCCGTGAAGCCATCGATCACGTTCGTGCCCTTAGCCTCGTTCTGTGTTTTACTGCTCTTTCTGTGGGAGTGTGGGTGTACCTCTGGGTGTAATTCAACTGAGATTGTTAGGATGGGCTTGAACCAGATGCCCCAGCCTGTTTTTCTGTTCTTTGTTCTGTGTTTAAGCCATAGGCCAAAATCAATCATTTATTTCTGGTACCTTTTGTATTTGTGCCGGTTGAGCCAGAGAATGGCTGTTTTGGGCTGAGTGGGTTTGCTTTTAACTCTGTAGAGGTGAACCTAGAAAAACTGGAATGTGAAATTCTTCCTGTAAGATGCCCCAGCCTGTTTTTCTGTTCTTTGTTCTGTGTTTAAGCCATAAGCCAAAATCAATCATTTATTTCTGGTACCTTTTGTATTTGTGCCGGTTTTGGGCTGAGTGGGTTTGCTTTTAACTGTGTAGAGGTGAACCTAGAAAAACTGGAATGTGAAATTCTTCCTGTAATAAATCCTACACACAAACACCCACTCCGGGGGGGATGTACACATAAAAAAACGCACCCACATATGCTCTGTTTATTTATTATTTACTCCTGAGCCCCCTCTCATGACATAACAACATGAAACATTGATCTCTCCAGCCTTAAAATGTCAATTCCTCTTTGCCTCACCATAACTCATCTGCTTGTCCATCCTCCTCTCAGACGCTCCATGCTCTGAGATGCAGGGAATGCTCTCCGGCCTCCTGCCAGACTCGCAGATCTCGGCCTCCTCCATGAGGGACATCCACGGGGCCACAGGTGCGTCACGGCTGGTGGCCAGTCGCTCAGGGTGGTTCCCCAGTCCCACGCAGCCCGTGGCTGGTGAAGAATGGCTGCAGGTGGACCTGGGAGTCCCCAAAACTGTACGGGGTATCATCACGCAAGGGGCCCGTGGGGTGGACGGCAGTACCAGCGCGGAGAACCGGGCCTTCGTACGGAAGTATAAACTTTCCCATAGTTTGAATGGAAAAGACTGGAGCTACATCATCGATTCCAAGACCAATCTCCCAAAAGTGAGAATGACACAGGATTTCTTTAATGCTACTTAGAAAAATCACAACAATCAAAACAAAGTTTTTTACTTTAAAGACAAACATTTATTTTATTTTATTTTATTTTATTTTTAGACTGCTTCCAAACAAAGGTCTCTTAATGAGATGAGAAAACAGTTAAAAGGGTTAAAGTGGTAATTGGCTGTACATAGATTCTGGCTGGTCCAGTCTGTTTCAGGCTGATCTAGTTGATTATCTAGGTGAACCTGGGTTTGACCTGATCTTGATCTTGGTCAAAAGCCAGTTAAGCCAATTAGACCACCTTGGACCAGTAAAAACCCAGCTTGACCACCTTAAGCATGATATATAGTCTTTTTCCAGCAGAGAAGGACTGAATTGAAAAATATAACTGGAGTTGAATTAGGTTAATTAGTTAATCATGCCAATTTAAATATTGTGGGTTGGTGAAAGGGCTCCAGTAATGAACAGTTCACCAGAATCAGATTATTAACAGACTCATTTCATTCTTTACTGCTCATCTCAGTGACTCAGCATTTCATTCTCCCACTCTGAGAGCAGAATTCAATTATGCTGCAAGCTTTGATAACATTCCAGTGAAATCATCCACAGTTGTGTTAATGAAAACCTGAGCTGCAGAGCTGCATCAGAGACTCAGAAATACAGAGAATATGCAGTAGCTTTCTTCTCTCAATCACACAGCTGGGCTAAAGTGCTATTGTGAATTCTGCTTCTCCAGATTTTTGAGGGTAACACGCACTACGACACTCCAGAGATCCGTCGCTTTGACGAGATTGTGGCCCAGTTTATCCGAGTGTATCCAGAGAGATGGTCGCCTGCTGGCATCGGAATGAGACTGGAGATACTGGGTTGTGACTTGCCAGGTAAGACCTATGTATGTTTTGTTTTGTTTAGTTTTTTATCTATTTCTTTTTATTTATTTATTTATTTATGGAGATACTGGGTTGTGACTTGCCAGGTAAGACCTATGTATGTTTTGTTTTGTTTTTTATCTATTTCTTTTTATTTATTTCTTTATTTTGTTTTTTGTTTTTGTTTATTTAATAGTTTTTAGTTATTTGTTTATTTTGATTATTTTTTGTTTTGTTTTTGCTTTTTTTACGTGATGTCTTTGGGCGTGACACAAAGCAGATTTATAATAATCATGATAAACAATTATTCCGCTGAGTAATAAAAGATCATTAGCTAAGCTGTGTGCCGTTTACATTGCCTGTAGCAACTTCATATTAATATATAATGCTAAAGATGTGCGGTCACAGATGTGTGTATTCATTGGCTATAGGCAGCAAGTTCAACAAGGCTCATATCATCCAGATTTTACAGTCAGGATTATCCGTTTTAATTAAAAATAAACCCAATACCCTCAGCTACAGCAGTAGAAAGAAGCAGAGCAGTCCTACAGCCACTCTGTCACTTCCATCTTTGCTCTCTGGCAACGATGTCCTTCATATCTCCTCCTGAATCTTTTACCTGTCACAGCATGACGATCAGCCAAAAGGACACACAGCTGCTCCCTCTGGACCTGGCCTGGGCTCTATAAAGTGGCAGGCCGAGGGGCAGTAATCGACGGGCTGTCTTCATGGCTCTGTGTCTGCAGGAGTGCCGGGGGCGAAGGAACATTAGAGGAGCTGCTAGAAAGGACAGTGTGGGTGGAGGCCAGGGGAAGCCTCAGGGCTCAGTGCCCAGGTTTATTAGCATGGCAAGACTGCAGGAGGAGGAAGGCATGATGAAAAGTCAGACAGAGAGCCAGTGCTGGCTCAGGGTTAGTTGGTGGCACTTTGCAGGCAGAAGATGAGATCCAGAATGAAAGCTTCATGTGTCATCGGCGGTGCTTAGTGCGATACTGGCACAGGTTTACAGAGCCTGTGGGCCATAAATGAATGAGAGCAGAAGATCAAGAGAGAGAAAGAGATGATAATCAAAGCGGATGAAAGAAATAAGGCAGGGATCAAAGCCAGTGAGTTAAGGAGTGACGAAAAATGGACTGACGGTCGATTGTGTTTGTGTATACATGGTTATGTTTGCGTGAGGGAATGTGATGACAGTGCGGTGAGGCTCCGCAGCGCACAACTGCGCACCAGATGTTCGAGACACAGGGGTCTCAATCTACTCCGCTCACTGTTGAAACTACAGCCCCAGTTCCTAATCTCCACAGTAAATCTAATCACATACAGATCCCAAGACACACAAACACACTCGTGTGTTATTATATATACTTGCATGTGACTTTGAATTGTGTGTATTTTTCTTTCGTACTTTCTTTGTTTCTGCCCGTATGCACAACATTATGGCTGTTTCATTTCCTACCATCTGTTATGCACATCCTGGCTGATCACTACAGTACCGGTCCTCAAAGGAGCCATTTGACAACAAAAAACATACAGGCCTACGGTTTGAGTGAGATCGTCCTAATGCGGCTCGCAAATGCCAACTGTACTTTTATAAACTGTGGTTGGTTGCAGCTGTGGTGCGAGAGTGAATGAAGCAGGGTTTGAGTGTTTTGTTTTGTTTTGTGTTTTTTGTTTTATTTTGTTTTGATTTTGTTTTTTTTATTTTGTTTTGATTTTGTTTTTTGTTTTTATGTTTTGTCTTTACTTTTGTAAATTATGATTGTTTACAGCTGTGGTGTGTGACACAGAGTTTGTTTGTTTTGTTTTGTTTTGATTTTTGTAAATTGTGGTTGTTTGCAGTTATGGTGCCAGCGTGAGTGAAGAAGGGTTTTGTTTTGTTTTTACAATTTTTACACTATGGCTTTGGGCATGACACAAAATGGATTGATAATAATCAATAAACAATTCATGAAGACTAATGCCTTTAGCAACTTCATATTAATATATGATGCAAATGATGTGCGATCATAGGTGTGTGTATTCATTGGCTATTGGCAGCAAGTTCAACGTTGCTCATCAAGGCAGATTTTACAGTCAGAGTTATCAGTTTTAATTAAAAATAAACACAATGCCCCCAGCTACAGCAGTGTTATATACACTATTACACTTACATGTGATTTTGAACCGTGTGTATTTTTATTTCATACTTTCTTTGTTTCCGACCGTTCGCATAATGTTATGGCTGTTTCGTTTCCTACCATCTGTTATGCACATTCACAGTGATCACTACCAATACCGGTCCTCAAAGGAGCCATTTGACAACAAAAAACATACAGACCTATGTTGAAGATCTCGTTTGAGTGAGATCGTCCTAATTCGGCTCTCTAAAGCACACTGTACTTTGGTAAATTGTGGTTGTTTGCAGCTGTAGTGCGAAGGTGTGTGTCGCAGGGGCCGGGGCTGCTGTTGTTCTGATTTTGAAGGGCCGTGGGGATTCGTAGAGAGAGAGAGACGTTAAATATTCACAAGGCTACATCAGTCTCACTCCACTGCACAGAGATGTTTACGCCAATCACACACATCTGCCACCGCATGCATAGTTGTCTATACTGACCGAACACACATACACACATTTAATTTCATATAAAGAGAGCTTAATACAAGTTATTATTGCATGTCGCTCTGGAATACTTGATTCTGAGTGGTATAATGATGGCATAACTGTAAAATTGACCATTGTCCCCAAGCAAACAATTTCTCTCGTATCATCACGTCTCTTTCTTCTCACATGCAAAAATAATTTAGACTCAAATCAATATTTAATGTCCATTTATTTGGTAAGTTGCCATATAATAAGCAGGATAATGCACAGTCATGTAGTCCATGTCGTGGTTCTGATCACCCTGACAGGGTTTATTTGATGATAATGACCATTTAACTACATTACATATGCCAAACTGATATTATATATCGTTAAATATATCATACTGCTCCTATATAATATACAAATACACACAAACTAAGGTCATGTATTCCTGGAGTTATTCTGAGCTGTGGCTAAGCTACAATTTTGTCCCCAAATCCCATCACTCTCCCAGAGGAAGAAAATTTGGAGTGAGGGACACGTGGAGAGAAATAATGAGTTGATGAATAAATAAACAGAGGCGTGGCAGACAGACCTTGTGAGAGCAAGACCGTGAAAGACACACCAAGGGACTTTAGATATTTCAATCAGGCACCCTTGTCTATTATTCATTACTGGACTCACGTCAAGCCAGAGGTTCCTGTCTCTGGGAGAACAGAGAACGAGAGAGAGGGGTAGAAAGAGTGAGGACAGTGACCTCTGCTGGGTGCAAAGCGTCTCAAAATTGCAAAATTGTCTCAACATAGCGTGCAACCCTTGAGACTGGGCTCACCTACTGTAGACTTCTCTCCCTGCTTAGTCTGAGTGGAGGTTCTGAAATTCAGGAGCACAGGGTTACTGCAGTTTAATTAGTTGAAGAATTAGAAAACAAAAATATACACTATTGTTCAAAAGTTTGGGGTCGGTAAGATTTTTTAAAATGTTTTTGAAGTCTGTTATGCTCACCAAGGCTTATCTAATTGATAGATAATTAAAATATTATAAATAATTGTTTTGTTTATAATATTTTGTCTCTATTTGTTAATCTTGTTAATATCATGTTAATCTTGAGTACCTATAGAGTAGTACTGCATCCTTCATATCTCTGAAGAGTCTTTAGTTTTATCAGATTTATAAAAGACAGATACAGCTTAAAGGCACAATATGTAAGATTTTTTTATTAAAATATCCAAAAACCACTAGAACAGTGTTATATATTTTGTCCCGTCGGATTGCATCGGCTGTGGGGATGAAGACCACAACTCCCATGATTCCACACTCAGTCACGGTGTCATCAAACTACGCCTTTGTCTCTTTGTTTATTTTGAATATGCGCCCTCTAGCGGCAAAAATTATATATTGTGCCTTTAACCTCTCCTCTCCGAAAACAGTCGAGCTCCTGGAAGTGTGTCGTGGGAGGAGCTAAAGAGTCACAAGCATGCGAAGCTTTTGCATTGCGATCGTCTGCAAGCTGTGACATTAACATCAAATAATTCCCTTAATGCTGGGTTCTTTGGGAAGCTGAAGGAGGTTATCTTTCCCTCACAACCAAAAACACACTACTTTGGTGACAATGTTGATTTTGTGGTCAAAAACAAAATGTAAAATCCTTCTTTCTCGAGCAAGTCCTGTGCAGCGCTGCCGATGACTTCCGTAACCCGAATGAAGCACGTTGATGGGCGTGCTCATGCTCGTGCTCTTGCTGTCGCTCTGGTTGATGTGTGCGTGCGCTCTTCCGGGAGAAGTGCCCATACAAGGAATTCCACCCTTTATGACGTCATACAGGGCTATACTTGAAAAAAACTTTCTGAAACTTATACGAACCCTGAAGCAGTGTATTTGGCACAGAAATACTCCATCATACGTCCAACTAGTTTTTTGAGACTTTGGTCATGTTTAGCATGAGAATCCAACTCTTTAGCAGTGTAAATAAGTCAGAATGCATGAAATAGCATTAGACATCTCCTTTAAATAGCTGGCAAAGGCTAAGATGGTCAATGAGCTGACTTGCCTCGAGTTTTGAGTTTGTTCTGCTATAACCTATTGCCCTCACATGGTACAAACACACCATACTGTACATGGGTGAACAAGAATGCCACACACCTGAAAGAGAGAAAGAGAACTCAGCATGTGCAATGCTCAATGATCACTCTCAGATGTGTGGGTGTGGCCTGTGGATGTCCGTCAAGGGAACAGTGGGTGTGGTTTAGGACACAACGTTCCTTGCCTGGGCAGCTGGTGATGTGATGGAAAATTGTTTCCACTTCTTCTTATCTTTGACGAGGAGAGTGTAATCACTTCTATCTGCTCTCTGGCTCAACCTCATTCTCTCGCCAAAACCGAGACTCTCCCTCACCATCTTTCACTGCTATCTCGCTATCGGGATGAATGCGTGTGAGCTGAAGGACAGCAGCTCCCCTCATCTAGTTGAATTGGCTCTTTGAAGTCATCAACCACATGTTTCTATTTAGTGTAGTCCCCCTACACAATCCATGTTTGCACACAGGCATTTATCCACAAAGCCCACATGTCATTCTTCATATCCTCCCAGTGTAAATATTTAGGTTGATCTCCACTCCTCCCCTCCTCTTTTTCCATACAGCACATCTTCCCAGCTCTTCCTTATATAATGTGTGCCTACTATGGTCTTTCCAGTGTACAGTCCAGCTCTCCTACTGGAAATCTCATGTATACTTTTAGTTCACCCAAAAATTATAGTCCTGTCAAAACCTGTATGACTTTCTTTTTGCTGTGGAACACAAATTACTATATTTTGAAGAGTATTTCAACTGTTTCAACTATTCTTGCCCAAACAATGACAGTCAGTGGAGTCTAAAACAGCACTGGACCCATTTGACTTTCACTGTAGAGACAAAAAACAGACATTTTTCAGAATATCATCTTTTGTGTTCTGCAAAAGATGTGCAATACCCTACTATCTATACTTATATTTATTATATGTATGTTATTGATTTAATATAAAAAATTTCTATCCAAATTTCCTTGCATAATGTGTATAGAGCACATCTGTACATACAATATACTGTCTATTGTCTTTTTTACATATTTATTTTACATACTCTCATGGTTGTAAATATTTTACATTTTGGCGAATTGGTGGTGAATTCTTATGAATTCAAATCAGTTATTTGTTTTCGTACTGCTTTGTATGTGTTTGTTTCATCTGCTTACATCCCAGTGATGGTTATGTTTAGGGCTGGACCATTATGCTTTGTTTTTTTCATTTTTTTTCATACGAATCAAAACGTATGAATTCATATGAAAACACCAACTCGTAAAATACTTGATTTCTTATGAGATCGGGTTTGATTTTTTTTTTTACTCTTTGGGTAAAATCTACTGAAACATACTACTAAATAATACTGTAGCTTAATCACTCCAATTAATGGTTTGCCATCATTGTTTAACATATGCGACACATCTGCGTATAAATGTTTAATGGGACATTAAGAAGGCTTATGATTGGATGTCTGGTGTTGAACAACCCACCATAGCATTTTAGCCAGGGTTAAGTGCAGTGTATAACCTTAAAAATGGTTTTGAAGATGATCTTTCTACATTTTGTAACTATATTCTTATATTTGAAATGTTTGTATTCACTGTCTATCGAGCCAGTTGAAGATGATTTCTTATAAATTGATTTTTGTCTTATAAAACGCCACTGTTGTTTTGAAGCAGAGTTCTCTGAGGACATCCGATGTGAATATGAATGTGAATATATTTCTAGGCATGTGAAGCATATTTGATATCCATCACCTAGAGATGATTTGTTGGTTTAACTAAGCTCGCAAGGAAAGTCCTTATCAGGGGCCAAGCAAACAGGCCTGTCTGAACTCCACTTGTATTTGGGGAATTTGCTAGCTGAGAGATAACACGATAAACCTTCTGTTACTTTCTGTGTTCAAAAGACACAGAGACAAAAGCTTTAATTAGTTCAGTGCTGCTAGAAAACGGCTTTGTTATTGAATTCTGGAGGCCAAAAGCCTTGTCTTTCAAGTTGGAAATGTTTAATTAGGTTGCCTATGAATAAGTATCAGTGTTGAAGTATGCGTGTTTGTGCGTGTGTTTCGGTGCATGTTTACTATTTCATTTAATGTGGTTGTGACTTGAACACAATGTTTAAAATACACTCAAATCAGCTTTTGATGATCACTTTCACTTTTGTTGATCCGATCTGCCTCCTGTTCTCTGTTTGTTACTCCACACAATTGTAACAGAGATGCTGGAGTTTGGTTAGAATCCATGAGCGGAAGTTTATTAAAGGTCAAGGCTTTAAACAGATGTCGATAATCAGGCAGAGGGTCAAAGTCAGAGAAGCAGGCAGATCGTTCGTCATACACAGGGGCAGAGGCAGAGACAATAGTGGAAAGGCAGGCAATGAGTCCAAACACAAACATCAATCCAATCAGGCGTCAGAACAGAAGGGGCAGAGTACAAATACCGTGAGTCAAGAAGTCAGGCAGAATCATACACAGGAATCAATCAGGAACAGAGGAACTATAACGCTTGGTAAGGCAGATGAACTGGCAATACTTCGCCACCAGCACATGGACTGGTCTCAGTTTATATGAGAGTCAAACAGGAAATGGAAGTAGAGGAAGCAGAGGGAGTGGAGCACGGTCAGTACTCGGGCGAGGGCTCCCTCTGCTGGCTTGGCGTTACAACAATCTGCCAAACGCACATCAGTCTTTGTTTTCCCTTGTAATGCAGTGTCTGCTCAAGATCTCAGTCAGGCACTGAAGTACGACCGGTTCGCCTGCCAGGGGCATAGATTTACTCCAAGGCTTTCTACATAATTGAACATTTTTTCAGTCTTGCTATGAAAATGCTGAGTCAGAGATTGCCAAGGCTCAGTAGGGCCCATGAGAGAGGAACCAGGGCTAACTCTGCTCTGTGCCCTGAATCCAGAGCTTGAAAACAAGGTAATCCTAGAGGGTGAGGAGGACTGACCCCAAAACTAGCCCTTGCTTGTAAATATCTGGTCGGTCTTTGAGACTTGGAAACATTTCATGGCCTTAATGTGTTATCAGGCTGTAAAGGAAATCTCAGGCGATGCCTAGAGTTTTGGGATCCAGATCAATTGGCTGCGTCAATAGAGCTTTGGAGCATATTGGAAATCTATTGCAGTGTCTTGCTCTGATCCATAGCTTGAGCCTCAGGTATCAAGAGAAATGAGCAGCATATTTCACATAGAGTGAATAGAAATTAGTGTCATTTGAAGAGAAATATCAGTTGTCAGTCTTAGTAGTTTATCCTAACTAACAAGTAAATGAAATCACCTAAAGTGATACTTGCGAATATATTGGCTCATTGTGTTAACACACTTTTAAGGGAAGCATACACTACTGTGTACTTTTTTTTTTTATAGCAAGAATGCATTAAAATTATCAAAAAAAAAAGTTATTTTGAACTTTACATTCCTCAAAGGATCCTGAAAAAAATATATCATGGTTTCTTCAAAACCATTAAGCAGCACAACTGTTTTCAACATTGATAATAATAAATACTTTTTGAACAGCAAATCAGCGTATTAGAATGATTTCTGAAGGATCATGTGACACTGAAGACTGGAGTAGTGGCTGCTGAAAATTCAGCTTTGCCATCACAGGAATAAACTATATTTTAAAATAAATTAAAACAGATATTTTAAATTGTATTAATATTTCACAATATAAATGTGTTTACTGTATTTTTGATCAAATAAATGCAGTCTTGGAGAGCAAGACTTTTAAAAAAGTCTTACCAACCCCAAACATTTGAACGGTGATGTACATTAGTCAGGACAGGAGTGTGTCACACTTAATGCATGTGAGACTAAAGAATGAAAGGTGTTTTAGGTGAGAGAGAGCGCTCAGTTCCCAGAAATCCAGGACTTGCTGGGAGGTTAATTGCATTTGTAAAGGGCAGAAAATTAATAGAGTTTAATGTCAGAAGCAGCCAGCTGGTGCATCCCTTTCATGTACGCACCCGCTTATAGAAATTAATAACATATTAATATTACAGTAGGCCTCTCCTTTTCATGTTGTGCTAAAGTGTCTACATGATTAGTGTAACGCCACTCACGTAGTTGCCAATTAAGCAGGGAATTTTTAAGAGTAATGACATTAATGACTTTAAGAGCTGACAATCATTACTCATTTATGCCTCGTTGTTTCTAAATCTTCATTTGCTCGATCCCCTGCGGGGAACGAAAAGAGATGCAATGGCTGATTTAACATTTTCTCTCATAACAAATTATCACCGCAGAAACCATGCAAGAGCGCTGTTGCAATCGCCGACACTGAAGTTTTTGTTGCCGTCTGGCTTATGTTGTTTTGGCCAAAACTCAACATTAATTCATAGATGAGAGATGTAGAGAGAAAGAAGAGAAATAAGGCTAAAGGAATTAACTTTGTTGTATGAAAATGAAAGTCAGCGAGAGACAGTATCAGAGGAGGAAACCTCTTTAAAAGTTTTGTGACTCATGGAAAATAGCTGTGGCAACAGTGGTTTCACATTAAAAGGCATTGAGGGTAACTGGTACAGTAACTACAGTGGTCTGAGGTGTAATGGCAGTAGTAATGAACCGTTTATTCTACCCAATAACCAGTAAATAGTTTTCAGATGATCAGAATTTTTTTCTAGTTGTGGTTTTGTAATATTTCTCTTATTGTAAACGCACAATGTGTGCATATGGTGAATGTGCAAATTTTTAATTGTCTCAGTCTGTTTCGCGTGTGTCTGGTGGTTGTGGCCACTTTTTAGAGGACAGGTGCTGGTGTGCATGCATGCCTGTGTGCGATCATGTGTGATTATTCTGTCATTTCATATTTGAGAAGAAGAGTGTGTGTGTGTGTGTGTGTGTGTGAGAGTTAGGAAGACTTGCGTATAAATCAGCACAGGTACAAGTATCTTCTTTAGAGAACACCACTAATAGTGCCTCACAATTTTTTCCAGTGCACAGTAAATGTCTTATTTCTAATATGAGCTGTTTTTTTTTACTTTCTTTTAGAATCTACCACCATTCCTGACACTGCCACGCCTACCCTCCCTCCTCACGAGGAGACAAATACTGCCCACAGGACACCAGGTAATCAAACAGGGCACCTTACATGAATATATTACTATAGTGAATGAGATCAGATCTCATTACAGAGTGGAAATCAGTTAATTCAATGATATCTATGTGTATTACGAAGACTCAAAACTTAACTAACATGTATTGAGAATATCAAGTAGAGCATGCCATTCTATTCAGTCATGAGTGTTTAGATAAGCAAGCATTTCAGTATATCACACATGCACTCATACACTTTTATTTACATTACTCTGCAGTGTAATTGCAGCCTTGCTTTTTCCCAGAGCTCTAATAACAGATTGCCACCCCTCCATTTGTACACACTTATGTGTTGATGAGTAGAGGCTCGCAGCATGAACGCTAACATTATGCTAACTAGCATAGCAGCATGCCTTTGGAAGGATGGCTGACGGAGGCCTGCTAAATGCTGAGGCACAGTGCTCCATGTAGATGAGGCTGTGCTGGAGTGTGTCAGTGTCTGCATGTTAAAACAGCACCAGCAGCAACAGAACCAGTCAGTGCATATACAGTGAGGCTGGAATCTTTCACATACAGTCAGATAGTAAACTGTCTGGTACAGTGAGACAGGAATCTGTCATGTATCGTGAAGCAAGAATCTGTGCATATTCACTGGAATGGCAATCTTTCATATATAGTACAGTGAGACTGTAAACTGTCACCTATAGTGAAACTGGAATCTGTCACATACAGTGAGACAGGAATCAGTCAAGTACAGTGAGACAAGAATCTGTCACATATATGGGAATCTGTTTTTTTACAATGAGGTAGGAATATCTTACGTGCAATGAAACTGGAATCTGTTACATACAGTGAATCAGGAATCTATCACATACAGTCAAAATGCAATCTGTCACATACAGTGAGATACAAATCTGTATAGATACAGTGACACGGGAATCTGTGTATGGAAAATGAGACAAATCTGTTCATATATAATATATAAAATATACAAGTACAAAAAACATTTACAGTAGGAATATGCAGGCTTTACACCAAGATAATTTTCACAAAGTATAGCATGAATATAAACTGCAATGGGTAGGTTGAATTAAATCAGCTGTGCATTTAGACAAATATGTCTATAGATTTCACGAGGCACATGCAGTATGTGTGTGTTATGAGAGAGCCTACAGCAGGGTCTGAGGTTTTGGTAAATGAGTATAATCTGGTTTGCTCTCTCTCTCTCTCTCTCCCCAGCTCCCACCACTCTCTCATCTCTGGGTGGTCTGTGTGACTTTGAGCATAGTATGTGTGGATGGACCCACGACCCCATGTCTGTTCTGAAGTGGTCTCTGTATAGTTCCTCTAATCCTAGTCTGGACCTGACATTGGGATCTGACAGTAAGTCCATCTTAATAAAATATATTAAATAGCCTAAAACAAAAAAAAAACAAATATTTACATTAATCTCTTCAAACATGAACATAAACATTGGGAATTTAGGGATAGCATTGGGAATATCGGGAACTTTGAGAAGACAAGTGTGCTTGTCTAGTAAGAATTGTTGAGAAAATAAACAGGGACAGTGGTAGAAGGTCTGAAAAAAAGTTTAGTACTGTATGGTGAGTGACTTACTGTGACCGCACTGCACGAAAGACGTTTTCAGACCTTCCTTTGCCCTTGTCCTCTTTACTAGCAAATACACACACACGCACATGCTCTCACCTATCATATTCCATCCATCCGTCTCATTACTGGTGTGTAATTAATGTGATAGTTGAAATCTGGGAATAGTATCTGTCACTCTCTGTCCATCCTCGCTCTTCCTCTCGTTCATCTCTTCATATCCCTGAGCTTACCTGACCTTTATCAACCCTGCTTGAAAAAAAAACACACACACACACACAAAAAAAAAACACACACGCACAAATGTACAGTTCTTCATGTCCCCCATGAATTCTTGGAGCACTCTACCTTGTGAAGCTGTTAAAACAATCTTTGCTCTTTTCCACATGTCAGTTTTAAAGAGAGATCCAGGAGTCAAAAGGAAAGAATCCTCTACTGTTTTAACCATTCCCAAACTAAGAGCACCCCCAAGCCCAAGACCTTCTCTTGTGTTTCTTCCATCTCTTTTACACCAGAGGTGTCACTTCACATTCCTCACCTTCTCCAAATAAACTGTGTAGATCCCCTAATGCAAAAGACTTCTAGGCACTCAAGCTTGATTTCACATGTTGTTGGGGTCTGAAATGTGTCTGAATCCAATTCATAACACAAGTACACAATGCATTCCTAACAATGCATTCCTCCTAGTCTTTCAGGTCAAAAGGTCAAGGTTTGGTTGGAAGATGTTGTAAGTACATCGTCTGAGGCCAAAAAGTAACCTTCTCTAATGACTGCATTCTCTATTTAAGTGTC